GGAGCCTTCAAACCAGGACCTGAGCTAGGCTTTTTTTTGTAGCTCAGACGATTTGGGCCCCTCTGAAAAAACCCCTGTAAAATCCGAGCTGAATCTAAAATTGCTCAGATGAATCAGGGTCCGAGCCGAAAAAAGCCTGAGCGCCACCAATTTTTGCGGGGGGGGGAGGGGAAATCCCACGTCATTACTTCGGTAGGGCTATCGAGTTTGGCCTCGCTCTTGCGGCGCCACGGCCGTGGGGAAGAGGGGGGAGAAGGGTGACTCACATACCTAAGAGAGTGACTCAATCTGTAAGTGATACAGAATGACATAACCTCGGCTTCCAGCAAGGAGGGCTCCCTAATGTACTGTGTTTTGAGAGGTGTGGGGTGAGATTTGGGGGAGGGAATTGGGGAGGGCAGCGAGTTGGGGCGGGGGCAAAATTTGAGGCCAAAAAAGGTGTGGGGTGGGGGAGACGGTTGATGGGGGAGGTGTCGATGGGGGTTGATTGAAGTTGAAGCAACCTGCGTTTTGAGACTTGACAAACGCACAACGCTTCTCTGATTTCGACGGTCGAGACTAGCCGAGCTTGGATATTCAACTCGGTATTGATTGACGGTCGTCGATTTCAAAACTTTTAGCCTTTTGGGTTTGGGCCTTTGGGTCCGTCTTACTTCAATCGGATGGCTTAAAATTCAAGCCATTTTACCAGACCTTTTTTTTTTTTTTTTTTTGGGCGAAGGTATGTGCTATAATGACAATACAATACACACAAACGCGTCAGTCGTAACTGGGGCTGCTGAAGATATTCCACCCCACAAAGGTATCTAAGGAGGCCTGAATGTCGTCCTCGGATTTGCCCGTAGCGACAGGAAGCGACAGTCGATTCTGGAGCTGGCGGCCGACGAGGATGACGCGAAGCTGTACTCCATCTTCAACAAGTTCAACGTGCGGAAGGTGTCCTTCAGATCATGCGACCCAAACAGTTGAAGCAGACGGCGATTCTCCCCTAGCGACCCTAGCCTCGAGGACTTATCCAGCACCGAAATCTTCAACTAGGTTAAGGTCACCGATCAGTAAGACACTAATCGACGCCAGGATCCTACCTACCCAAGGTACCAACGTCTCCATAAAGAAACTGGCTCTGGCAGTTGCCTGCGCCGGAAATTACGTGCCTATGACTGTCAGTATTACTCCGCACCAGGGAAAACGGATGCTACTCTGTCTGTGTGTCTGTGACTGTGATATTAGGTCTAAACACTAGGATGGTGACACCACTAGTGTGAGAGTACGACTCCGTTCCATTCTCTTCTCATTTCCATATTCCCTTTCCATTTCATTCCTCTTTTTATCTCATTCCATTTGGGTTCCTATTTATCCTTTTCCATTATCCTTTGATTTATCCTGTTATTTTCATTATATCACCGACCAGGCTCGGGATGTACTGGTGCGCTCTATCTAGCGCAATCCTGCCGTACTCCCTTAAAGCCAATAGCCTCGCATGGCTATACGCAGGGTGATTCTATTTTCTAGAAGGTTCTATTCCCTTGGGATAAGATAAACCTCGTTACCTGATGTACCTTGGAAGTATAAAAGCGCCTTGTACTGATCGATAGTGCAACCTGTCCTCGACACATTCGATCATGTGACAACTAGCCCTTGCTTATGGCGGCACTATGAGACTGTAAGTTGGTCTAACCTCCGTCCAAAAGTTGTGATCCTACCCAACACGAGTATCAGCCAAGAGAACTATATTAGCTGCATGCTTTAACCAATGCCTTAACTTTTCTCTCTTGCCTCTTCTTCCTAGACCATTTACATTGAGACAGCAGATCGACATGAGGTTGCCATATATTAATGAAACAGGCGGGGGCCCACACGCATCCACGAGGCGACTGACAGACTACCAACGAGGGACCATGGGCAAGAATCTGACTATCGCTAGGATTCCTAAGCTGAGATCTGCTCGACCTGAAAACTACTACATCATGAAAAGAGACAAGGCAAGTACTACCACTGCTACTTCTACGGCAAGGGTGGTCGCGAGCTACAAGCGTGCAGCGGGGGAGGTCTTCTTCATCACTTCCATGCCGTACTCCTTCAGCACCGTCCTCAGCGACAGCTTCTCCTTGCTCTGACACGATCGCCGCACCATCTTGCTGCAAACCGGTACGATGGCGATCCAGCTTGATGTATTGTAGGGCTTGCTCAAAGGAGGTGCCGTTCACCTTGTTGCAGCAACCGAGAAGACAGATCCAGCTTTCTCGATCTACCTTGGTCGCGACAAGAGCAAAGTCGGATCCTTCAGCAATCTCTTTGTGGGGCCCACCAAGGTAAATGAGGCCGCTGAAAACAGGCAAGACGGTCATCAGGGTGAGCACGTTAGGGGAACAAGCACGACAGGGGGAAGGTGCGTGGAACCCATTACCATTCAGGGAATGAACCTTGGCCAGATCTAGCTTCTAGTTGCTGATACTATCATGGCGTTCAGTGACGAAGCCATCATGAACTGCCATCACGCGTTGACCACTGCCGAGCTTGCAGGAGAAAGTCGGGTAATGGACCATAAGCCACTTTGCGTTCTGCACCGGATCTTCAATGAAGTGAAGCGGGTGGTACTTGTCACCAGGGTGAGGTAAGAGCAGACCGCGGATCTTGTCAGTGTTTATGCCAGTAACCGGATCCAGCACCTGATGGAACTGCGTACCGCTGAGGAAAGTCGTCAACCAATACGAGGAAATTACGAGGAAATTACAATCAACCCTTGCCAACCAATACGAGGAAATTTACAATCAACCCGCATGTGCGGGCAATCTGATAGTGTGGTTAGAAAAACCAAGAAGGAAACCGCGTTGTTCAAATCCACTGTGGAAAATAACGACAGGTTTACCACCTGGCACCCACAGCGGCCTACCTACCTGGATGAGTACCGATGCATATCCCAAAACGAGCCATAAAAACAGGGAACACCACGACGAAAAAAACAATGCAGCCCAACTTTGAACGAAAATAAAGGTGGCAAAATGGACCAGGGCAATACAGAAGCGAATCACGCCAGTGAATGTTAGGTGTGCATGGGGTAATACAGAAGTGGGGCTACTGGGGTACACTTCGATTCCTACGAGTGGGCGTCCTCACGCTGCCCCAACATGCTGGCCCATCCCTGGTGGCTCGCTGGTTCCTAAAACGCAGGGACCAGCAACCCTCCGAGCTCGGACCAGCGTTTTCCACGTGAAACACTGTTTGTCTTTTCCGATTTACTATTGAGCTTGCCGAATTTCGACCGGGCCCCCATTGGTTCCAAGTTCGCCATTCAGGCGAGGCAAAATCGGAGGTATGTGGTGGTCGCAGCCCGGCTCGGCAGGTCGCTTGGCTGTCGCTGTGGTGTCGAGCCTATCTGGCGGGATGCTGGTGGGTCCCCGGTTGGGCAATCGAACAAGGCCTGAGCCTAGAGAAGATCGCGGCAAAATCCATGGTTGCCTAGAAGTTGCCATACTCGCTTGTACTAAGGAAATGTCATTTAATGTTGAGATTGCGGTTCGATACAACACCAAACGTGTTTCAGCAAACAAAACACGATTGATTCCTCAAACAAAACAGATGCTTGTGGTTGCCTGCCAGCAACCACTTCTCTAGTTACGACAGCGAAATTTCATGGTTTTGCTATGTTTTCTCTGGCTTCGCTAAAACCACTGCTCACATTCATACGCACTGCGTATGAACAACTTGGGCAGCGGGCTCTTAAAGCCCGCCCGGCAGGCTGCATATTTGTACTGTTTAGGTAGGTAGGGTGGCAAAACCTGATTGGACGACGAAAGATTATGGAAAGAGAAATAGCTGGCGAAGACTGGGCTTTGCAGAGTCAGCGTCTGATTTACGCGGGTTAGCGGGGCTGGAAACTTGGCAGGGCTGCCAGTTTTGCAGCTCACAATCTGGCAGAGAGCCGCCTCGCCACCTTTGCCAAGTTTGCAGGGCGAGAACTGGTTGGCTGTTTCGATCACAACCAACCCTTTGACCTGAACGGTATCGGAAAGACAAACCGGATATTGTTTGACACATATACGGTTCGGTACAGTGAGACCCGAAAAATACGAATCACATTTTTGTTTCGCGATTCCCACCCACACTGCAAAATACAAATTCAGGTTTCTACCCCCCACCCAGCCCCTCCCACCTTTTCCCTAAAAAAACTCGGCAGGTTTGCACTGCCAGGTTCCGAGAGGGCCCCAGCCGTGCCTAGTTGTTATACTTCGCGAGCATTTGGCAGTTTGATGCCAGCTGCTCGGTTATGAGGGCCTCAAGGTGCAGCACCTTGAGAAAAGAGGACTTGCAACCTGCCGTTCGGGCTTTAAACCAGGGTCTAGTATTTCCGTAGGATTTATACGTGCGAATTTTGTGTGGCTCACAAGCTGCAAGATGTGACGAAGAGTTTAATGAGAAACACCAAATGTAAATATGCTGAGGTACACCTTCAGTATCAACAGCAAAACGCGCGGACACGTGTCCCGTCCGTGTCTCGACAAATGAGCGGGTGCGCAGCGTGCATATAGCAGACTGACACACGAAAACAGCAGGGTAACCAAATCCTGCCCCGGGAAAGAGGCCTCGCCCGGTGCTTCGCATGCGTCACGAAAGCCTGGCGAATGTAAGCGTTCTATTTTTCGCCAGCCAGGATCTGGATGTTTCTGCCGTGTGTATAATTTGGGCAGGATCTCTATTCGGTTCGGAAACGTGCGGCCCACGTCTGTGGGCCCGTTTGGAGGGTGTCCGCCAAAACCGTCATTTTTTCGTGCGTGTCCGAATGGACACGAAATTTCGGGTGACCAGGTCAAAATTTCGTTCCTGATATGCAAAGTGAATAGTATACGAACGCGCTGGACACGCCCTGAACCGCCGAGATTCTGGATACTTCCCAGTCCCTCGAAAATCGGGAACTACCAGAAGCAGCGTGTTTACCGAAGTACAGACCAGGGGGGAACGAATCACGATCAGACCTTGTGTCAATATGGAGATCAGACCTTGCGTCAACATGGAGCTCAGACAGGGTAGCATCGTGGTTTGTTGCTTGAGTACAGTCCTGACCCCGAGTTCTCTGACACGCGGTTCCTCTATCCATGCCTCCGTAGGCAAGGGAAACTTGGGGAATGCGCGCCGAGCAGCAGCCGAAGCCCAGGCGGTTCCTGAGCTGACGTGGCGCAGAGAGGTATTGACAACTCGAATTTGAAGCAGACTGTGGAAGGTGTGGAACAGGTGTGTAAAAACCGGATCCAGACGGCCAACCACAGCTGCAGAAGCGATGAGGAAACACGTGACGGGTGGTCTGGTTGGGCAAAAGATTTGTGCTCGAAAGCTAGCGGCTGCGGTTTTCGCAAATACCTGTAAAGAGCATATGATGACGATTCATTCACGGGATACCACATGTTTTCTCTGAGCCGCCGCTCGTGAGCCGTGAACAGAATTCTCTTTCGAGAAAGTGCACATGACCGAAATCTGAAAAGTGGACATTGCTTCTCCACCTGGCTGGAGTTGGACAAACTCGAGAACCTCATTGGCTTCGGATCTGTTCGCGAACTGGTGGACCTGATGCCCTTGCCTCCGCATATCCCCAACGTTTGCCCGTCCATGAACTTTCTCGAACTATTTTGAAGCCGGAGACGAAATACAGAAACGTTTTTGCAGATACAGTGCAACAATTTGATATTTTCTCGCTGACCTAACGGCTCGACTTTTGCACAACGGCTGTGGAAGGGGGATGCAGTTGCTCCGCAAACACAACAATGCTGCAGCTCAATGCGCATCTGCTACTTTCCTGCCCAGGATCTGTCTCGTGGCTGAAATCCACTGAACTCCCGATGCCGATCCAATTCACGGTCACAAGAGCTCCTCCTCCGTCGTCGGTCAATCTATCCAGCACTCACCACATCTTTTTTCCCCCAGCCCTCCGCCCGCCGCACACCCAACCCAACCACTCCAGTCGCGAATCTGTGTGAAGAAGCCGAGGAGTCGGGGACTCGGGGTCCGCTCTGGGCGGAGCGAGCGAGTGACAGAGAGAAGATGCGATGTACACACACCACCACTCCACACGTACACTCCTCCCCTCCAGTTGAGCACTTCCATTCCGACCAATGTTCCTCTCCGCTCCTCACATCTCCTCCCTCCCCCATCCTCCCTCCTCCCTCCTTCAGCTCTTCAGTTACACCATCCACACCACTCTCTCAACCCCCCGCACCATTCCCACAGCTCTCTTGCCATGGTCCTGCATGGCCCTATCTCGTGCCTAGTGAGCTCCTAGCCCTGCATTATCTCGTACACTCTACAGCAACCAGCGTACTTTCTTGGCCGTGGATCCATTCCTCCTCCTCTCGCCTTCATCGCTAGTCTTAACACTCATAGAATACTGGCATCGTGGGTAGAACCGACCCGAACCCGTTGTCGAGCTTGCCGAACCTCAAGCAAGCCTGAATCCTGCACCCTTGATTCTCGAGCCTCGGCTTCTTCCGAACCGCGAGCCTCACTCCATTGTTTCGCCCATCGCTCCTGGAACCTCTCTGCGGACGGTGCAACGTCGGTCGGTCGTCTGTCGGACGTCGGTCGGACTCCTGAAATTCTTACGAAAGCCTTCCTCTCGGGGAGAGCCGCTTGGGAGTGAGTCCCTTGGGTATCTTCGGCTCGTCGAACACACCTTCTAATAGCGCTCCGTCTTGCCCGCTATCAGCGGCTGACGACTCGTGGAGTCACCATATTCCATCCCCATCCCCATCCCCATCCCCATCACCATCCCCATCACCATCACCATCCCCACTGGTACTAGCAGCCCCATGTAACTACAGCGACTGCTATCAACCGAGTACGGCTCGGCGGAAGAATAAGCCCGCTCGCGTCTTTCAGTCGGCGGTCGACTCGAAACAGAGGCTCGCTTTCCAAGGCTAGTCAAGAGTTCCGAGTTCCAACAGCGCGTGTGCGTTCGCGTGCGCGTGTGTGCTCTTTGAAGAGCGACGAGGTTGAAAGAACGACCCAAGTCTTAGAGCGCGCGCACCAACGGGCGTTTTCACCGTCTATTACGAACGGTAGCCGCTGCTTCCGCAGCTGCTATCGCCGCTGCCGCTGCCTCTGTTGTGAAAGCGGAAAGCAGCGCGATAGGCGGAAAGCGGAGAGAAGCGCTATAGGCGGAAGGCGGAGCAGGGATGGTGGGGCTTGGCGGAGGCGGGGGGGGAGGGGAGATGGAGCGGTGGGGAGACGGTGGCGGAAGGGAGGTGCAGAATGGAGTATGGGGGGAGAGAAACGGGGCAGGAATGCGGAGTTGGGGGGGAGAGAGCGGGTTTGCGGTGGAAGGGGGAGGGTGGGGGGAGGAGACTGTGTCAAGGCGGAGGGGGAGAGAAAAGGAGGGGATTTTGGCGCTCGGGGAAGGTGATGGGGGGAAGGAGGAGGAAAGAAGAGGGGAGGGGAGGGAGAAGCTCTTACCAGCAGCAGGCCGCGGCAGTGGCAGGAGAAAGGGCGACGGCGAGAAGAGGCGGCAGGGAAACCAGAGGGATCAATGGGAGCACATGCAGCAGACGGAGCAGACGGAGCAGCCAGAGCAGCCAGAGCAGGCGCAGCAGGCGGAGCAGTCGGAGCAGCAGAGGCAGGAGGGAGACATGGACTCACTCGAGTTAACGCTGCGGAGCCCAGGGATGCTGGCGTCAGGCCCTCACGGCCTCGCCAAGTCAACCAAGTCAAGGGGAGTCAACGAGGCGGGAGCGGCCGGACGCGGCAACAGCCACAGCAGCAGCAGGTGGTTCGAACAGCAGCAACAGCAGCAGCAGCGGCGGCAAGGCGTGGTTCCAGCAGGTTCAACAGGGTCCGAATGGCGTTTTTGGGAGAGAGACAGCAGCAGGAATGAGACAGCTGGGGCTGTTTCCTGCCGCACCGACGGAGGGGAGTTGACTCTCGCAACGGGAAGCATACGTCTCGGGCTGGGACCTCTGGGTGCAGAGTCCGCAGCAGGGGCAGACGGAGCGGCAGGAGCAGTAGGAGGAGAAAATACAGCAGAGGCAGCAGCTGCGAGGCTCTCGTGCTCTGGTGCAGCCAGCGCGGTGATATCTGGAGAAGATACGGTGCAGAGGTTTGCATCTGAAGCTCGTGGCAGTCTTGTAACGAGTACAGGTGCTGCTGGGATGGAGCAAGGACAGGATATGTGGCTGTGGGGTGCGGGTGGGGAGAGATGGGGCGCGGTGGAGAGGGGTACGCATGAAGACGGGAGGCATAGAGTGGGGGCCGTTGGGATGGGTGGGATGGGTGGGATGGTTGACTTGGAGAGACGGTTGTGGATGGGAGAGGGGGAGCAGGAAAAAGTGAGGGAGGAGGAGGGAGTGGGCATGGAGGTGGATGGGAGGGAGACCGATGGCAACGTGGGTCCCTCCTGTGCTTTAGTGAGTAGCGTTGTGAATATGATTCGCAGTCTAACCTCACTGTGTGTTCTGATCTCCCAAGCTTCCCCCCTTCCCCCCCCCCCTCCCCACACCCCACCCCCTTCCCCTCTCGCCCAACTCCCCCCCTCCTCTCCCTCTCCCTCTTTCGCTCTTTTTCTCATTCACACACACATGCGTGTGCGCTCACACACGACTCAAGTCTGAACCATCAAGAGCCGCGGTTCACCGACTCAACTCTCCCGTCCTTCCCATGCCCATCATTCCCCTCTCGTTTCTCCCTACCATGTTCCCCCCTCGCGTCCGCCCTCCTCCCACCCACCCTCCTTCCACTCAGACCCTTCTGGCCGAAGCACTGCAGCAGAATCCGTGCAACTGGGGAGTAGGGACGGACCGAAGAAGAGGAACGGCCAGTCGTGCTGATGGCGCCGCTGCTGATGCTGCTGATGCTGATGCTGCTGCTGCTGATGCTGCTGCTGCTGCTGCTGCTGCTGCTGATGATGATGATGTTGATGATGATGATGATGATGATGGTGATGATGCTGGTGATGCGGGTGGGATCAGCAGTGGTGTGGATGATCAGAGCGGCGATGGTGGTGGTGATGGTAGCGGTGGTGAGAGGAGAGGAGGGAGAAGGGAGAAAGGAGGGGGTGTGGACGGGCACGGTAGCTCCTCAGGCAGCAATAGCCCGCGAGAGCAAGCAGTGAGGTTTGGGGCGGAGGAGGAGGGGGGAGGCAGGGCGGGGGAAGGCGGGGAACGCAGAGCGGAAGAGGCTGGGACTGGGGCTGGGTCGAGAAACGACCATTCAGTGAGTGGGAACGGGAACGGGAACGGGAATGGGAACGGGAATGGGAACGGGAACGGGAATGGGAGGCATGTGGATAAGAAGCGGCATGTGGGTGAATTCGCGGGTGTGCAGGGGGGAGAATGGGGGGAGCATGCGCGGGAACGAGAGATGCCGGCACACCAAGATGGAAAGGAGTGGCCGCAGCAGCAGCAGCAGCAGCAGCAGCAGCTGCAGGAGCAGCAGGAGCAGGAGCCGGAGCCGGAGGAGGAGGAGGAGGAGGAGGAGGGGGGGAGGAGGAGGAGGAGGAGGAGGAGGAGGAGGAGGAGGAGGAGGAGGAGGAGGAGGGGGAGGGGGAGGAGCATCAGGATGACAGCTCACGACTGGACCGTCCGCAATCGCAGAACGGTGAGGGGGAGATGGAGGCTTGGCGAGCGCAAGAGCATCAGGCTCAAAACCAGGTGGCGGGTGAGGAGGGGGAGCAGCAGCATGCGATGCAGGAAAACAAGCGACAGTCGGCGCCACAGCGCCAGCAGCAGCAGCAGCTGCAAGAGCAAGAAGAAGAAGGAGAAGAAGAACAGCAACAGCAACAACAGCAGCAGCAGCAGCAGCAGCAGGAGGGGAGCAGCAACAAGGGCGTGTGCAGCTTGGAGCAAGTCTCAGCCCTCTTCACGAGCGCTCCCGACCCCCAGCTCCCCTGCCCGCGCTGCCACAGCAGCAATACTAAGTTCTGTTACTTCAACAATCGTAACCCCAACCAGCCAAGGCACTTCTGCCGCGGCTGCCAGCGCTACTGGACCGCCGGAGGGGTCATTCGGCACGTTCCTGTGGGGTCGGGCAGACGGAAAAGCAGGCAGCAGCAGCAGCAGCAGCTGGCACCGCAGCAGAATCAACCACCAGTGGCAGCACCAGCAGCAGCAGCAGCAGCAGCAGCAGGAGCGGTGGATATAGCGGATCTCCATGCGCTGACCGCTGCTGCTGCAGCTGCCGCCGCCGCTGCTGCTGCTATGTCTTCTGGGAGAGTGCACCCAGGGGGGGAGGCAGCACATGCTGCTGCAGCTGCTGCTGCGATGGCTGCCATTCGCGCCCTCCCTCCTCCTCCGACCCCTGTGACTGGGGCGGGGAACGCTCGTGCTGTGGCAGAGGCAGTAGTGGAAGCAGCTGCAGAAGCAGCAGCAGCAGCAACGGCAGAGATAGCAGCAGCACGGGCAAAGGCGCCTTCTGCTCCTTCTGCTCCTCCTGCTGCTGCCGCGACTGCTGCTGCTGCTGCGTTAGGTGCAACAGGCATGAATACGCCTGGGAAAACCTCAGCTGCAACTGCTCCCGCTCCTGCTGCTTCTACTGCTGCTGCTTTTCCTGTTGGTGTTTCTGCCGCTGTTGCCGCTGCTGCAATGGCGGCAGCAGCTGCTGCCGCAGCACCAGCTGCATCCCCTGCAGCAGGATTCCCCGGCTGGAACCATTTACTTCCCACATTACCGCCTCCGATTCAAATCCCATTCGCGCATAACTACCCTGGATTCCCGTTCCTCTCCCCCTTCCACACCTTTTCCAGTGTGGAATTAGCAGCGGCTGCAGCTGCCGCAGGAGCAGGAGCAGGAGCAGGAGCAGGAACAGGAGTAGGTGCAGGTGGAGGTGCAAGAATAGGTGCAGGGGCAGCAATCAACAGTTCGTCAAGCCATGCAAGTCCATCCCTTTCTGACGTCTCCTTGCAGGGGCATCATGGGCCTCTTGCCTTCGCTTATCCTTCGGCTGCTTTTCTCTCGGCTGGCCTTTCTGGCCCCAGCAGCCTACAGCACGCCCTTAGTGCGTTCTTCAGTGGTGCCACTGCTGCGGCTGGTGCTGCTGGTGCTGCTGGTGCCACTGGTGGTGCTGCTTCTACTTCTGCACTCGGTGCTGCTTCATTCGGCGCGTTCGCCTCTACCCTTGCCCCTGCAACTTCAATTGCAGCTGCTTCTGCAGCAGCAGGAGGAGCCGTTTCTTGGGGTAGCAGCAATGGCCACGCGCAGCTGCCTTACCTCACTTCCTTTCTTCCAGGTGCATTTTCGTTTCAGCTGCCGCAGCAGCAGCTCCAGCAGCAGACGCAGCAGCAGCAGCAGCAGCAGCAGCAGTACTACTGAATAAAGTGTGTTTGAGCAGGCTGCTCCAAGAGCAACTGCAACAGCAATGCTCCTCGTGCGTCAGCATAAGGTCCTGTGTAAACAGATGCAACGACTAAGAACACACCGGTATCCCAAGTCTCTTGTCGTCGTCATCTCAACAGCCTGACTTTTACTTACCACACGTGTATCAGCCACCCTTGTGCAGTTCACTCTGGTGGTGCTACTGTCACCACCACGCCCGTACCCACGCGGTTTCCTTGCGACACGACTTTTTCCTTCCAGGGAGCTTCTACCCTTTCTCCCGGAGCACTGGTCTGAATTACAGTCAATATTCTGTTTTGTGTACTACCGGTAATAGTTCTTTTACATTATACAGGGCATGCACAGTGATACGAAACTTCACAAGCAATCGAACACCTGTGAACCTCCCATCTCCCTCCCTCCATACCCTACCAGTACTGGTAAAACCAGGCATGCACATGGATACGGCACTGTTGATGTGAACGTCTGTACTGGATGGAGAGGTACAAAGATACCATACCATCGCAAGCCTCGCAAGGGTCAGGAATCATGAGGATGTGCTGCATTGCATGCTGGTTGCGTGTGATGCGAACTGGTCACAGCTCGTCCTTTATCTCAAACTCCTGACGTAAGACAGGAACAACACAGGGAATAAAACAGGTGAGAATAAGTCCCACTTGGAGGGATGGAGCAACTCGAAGGGGTAACGGTATATCAGAACACACCGAGTGGGCAAGAATTACCAGTAGGCATGGGGTCCATAATCAGGTGAACCCGACCTGTGATGATCAACCCTTCCTCACGGACACGCTGAGGACACGGACACGCATCATCAACCGCTGAACTGCCTGGATTCTGTCTGACTTTTGAGTCGACTCAAAAGTCTGCCTGGATTTGGTTTGCCTCAAAGGCCTTACAAGCGACAACCCCCCCTGAGTGCCTCGCCTGGTGAATGGACGTGTCCCTTCCTAACCAGGCAACCACCACATCACACCACACCACACCGGGGGAACGCTAACGCCCATGCTCACACCCCATGAAGCCTTGCGACCCCACCCCAATGTGAGATCTCCTCCCACTGCCAGATGTACAAAAGAGAGCGCACCCGAAAGGAGGAGCGCACCGCGGCTCGAGGATGGCGGGGCGACGGAAAGAAGGACCTTGAGCATAATGCATAATGCATAATGCATCCACGGGAGATGGCACCGCACCTTCCGCACCTTGAGGATGACTGTTGAGTCGACTCAAAAGTCACCTCGTTACAATGTCACACAACGCTAGGAGGAGCGCACTGCAGCTCTAAGTTGGAATATACACGTATCGCGTTTTATAAGAAAGCGTTTATACGAGAGCGTATAAACGCAATACGCTTAGGAGGAGGGGGTCGGATACGCACAGAATACGGTGGCCCGGGCAGAGAAAAAAACTTTTCCGGGCGGGTGGAACTACGGGGTGCCTCAGCAGATGGGGGAGAGGGTGATGCTGTAGGGCTGGAAGTCATGGTGGCGGGCAAGCTACAGAAGGAAGGGAACTGCGCGAATGAGTGTATAATGTTGAAATGGCTGTAATTTATGCTAAGAGAGCTGATTCTGTTTGAGGCCAACTCGTCTCAGGGATAAGTTGGGAGGGATTGGGAAGTGACGAGGTGGAGTGTTTTGGACAGAGGTTCAAAGGGGGGGTTGGTGCCAGTTCGAAATTCAAATTCGAAGTTGAGTTCGCGATGTGCGAAGCCGAAAATAAGTTTCCACGCAAAATGTCGCGATTTTTTTTTTCTCGGTCAGCCCGTGCGTATTTCGGCGTATCTATGCCAAAAACTTAGCGTACGTATTTTCTGTGCGTTTAAACGCAATACGCAATCAAACTTGAGCGTTTTTTCCAATTTAGCTGCAGCTCGAGGATGGCAAGGCGGTGGAAAGAAGGACCTTGAGCATAATGCATAATGCAGAATGCATCCACGGGAGACGGCACCGCACCTTGAGGATGGTGAGGCGGCGGTGGAACTCCGAGTGCTTGGCGGGAGGCAGGCTGGATGAGGAGACAAGACCCTTGAGGCGTGCAAGCTCCTGGTGGGGCGTGGGGGGGGGGAGAGGGCGGATGGGCGATGATAGGTTCTTGAGAATTCTAAAAAACGTATCACAGCTGGGAGGCAGGCGTTGGAAGGAAGGGTAGGGGAGGCAAGCGGCTTAATAGATATCCACTAGGGGAGGCAGTTGAGAGTGCTTTTGAGTCAACTCAAAGGGCTCCGCTGAGAATAATTTCGAGTCGACTCAAAAATTGAGAGTGCCTTCGAGTCGACTCAAAATTTGAGAGTGTTTTTGAGTCGACTTGAAAATTGAGAGCTTTTGATTCGACTCAAAAATTGAGAGTGCTTCTGAGTCGACTCAAAATTTGAGAGTGCTTTTGAGTCAACTAAAAAATTGAGAGTGCTTTTGAGTCGACTAAAAAATTGAGTGTGCTCTTGAGTCGACTAAAAATTTGAGAGTGCTTTTGAGTCGACTAAAAGATTGAGAGTGCTTCTGAGTCGACTCAAAAATTGAGAGTGCTTTTGAGTCGACTAAAAAATTGAGAGTGCTTCTGAGTCGACTCAAACATTGAGAGTGCTTTTGAGTCGACTCAAAAAGTGAGAGTGCTTTTGAGTCGACTCAAAAATTGAGAGTGCTTTTGAGTCGACTAAAAAAATTGAGAGTGCTTTTGAGTCGATTCAAATTTGAGAGTGCTTTTGAGTCGACTAAAAAAATTGAGAGTGCTTTTGAGTCGATTCAAATTTGAGAGTGCTTTTGATTTGAGTCGACTAAAAAATTGAGAGTGCTTTTGAGTCGACTCAAAAATTGAGAGTGCTTTTGAGTCGACTCAAAAAGTGAGAGTGCTTTTGAGTCGACTCAAAAATTGAGAGTGCTTTTGAGTCGACTAAAAAAATTGAGAGTGCTTTTGAGTCGATTCGAATTTGAGAGTGCTTTTGAGTCGACTCAAAAATTGAGAGTGCTTTTGAGTCGACTCAAAAATTGAGAGTGCTTTTGAGTCGACTCAAAAACTGAGAGAGCTTTTGAGTCGACTCAAGAGGGCTCCGCTGAGAATCAGCGAAGTATGGAGCGCAAAGGGTGCAAAGATTCTCAACAGCATGCCATTGCAAAGGTTCCTGCTTCTGCTTCATTGGGCGTGTTGGCAATGGCATGCCAACCGCAAGCAATACAGTGCTCATATTGGGAACGGCTGCAAACGGTTGGAACTGGTTGGAAACGATAGGGACCAAGTTGTGCACCTTGGCAATGAAGTCTTCGCCCCTCTCAATGACTGCTGACATCACTTTGAGGTAGTACTCTCCGCTCCTGCAGATGGCAGGAGGGAGAGGCCGAGAGAGGGAGAGAGGGACGGAGGAAGGGAGGGAGGGAAGGGAGGGAGGGAAGGAAGGGGAAGGGGTGAAAGCGGGGGTGTGGCCATGGGTATTCTCGAGGCTGATGCATTCACATGGGTACTGTTTTCGTGCCTGTACTGACTTCCTTTCAATGTAGAGCTGTATGGGGATGCTCAAGACTTATAACCACGCCTCAGAAAGCCGCATGGCCATACGCCCCAACCCTGCCCCAACCATGCCCCAACCGTGCCCCAACCATCCCCAACAATGCCCCAACCATATGGGACAGTGGCATAGGCGGTGTGGTCTGTGTGCCACTGCCATGGCATACTACAACGGCATGCACTCTATTTTTGAAGCGCCTCAAAAATAGACTCCTCTCGGTGTGGCTGTGATTTGAGTCGACTAGAAATAGGCTCCTCTTGGTGTAGCTCTGTATGCCAGTGCCATGGCATACTACAACGGCATGCACTCAGCACGACGAAATCAGCTCTCTCCTTGGCATCAGCCGGCAGCCCCGGCACGAGCTGCTGTGTACTTAAACAGTTGCAGATTGACTTTTGAGTTGACTCTAAAGTCACCCCGGCGGCCCCTGCACGAGCTATTTTTGAGGCGCCTCAAAAATAGACTCCCCTGCACGAGCTGCTGTGTACTTGAACAGTTGCAGATTTTGCAGGAGAATTCTCAGGAACACCCTGCAAAATCAAGGACTTCTTGGCATCAGCCGGCAGCCTCTGCACGTTCTGCTGTGCAGTTCAGCTGCTGTTTTCGGGTCTGACGCAGTTGAGCAGCCAACAACACGCGGCAACTCACAAGTCAAGCCTCACAGCGAGCTCCACTCACTCCTTGGCGTCAGCCGGCAGCCCCTGCAACGCAAGAGCTGCCGCCTACAGGACTGAGCACACAAACAGACCCAAATCACTCACTCGAGGGTAGAACCGTTTCCGTCAACCTGGGTCACATCACGCTCCATTCAACTCACTCCCTGGCATCAGCTGGCAGCCCCTGCACGACCTGCTGTGCCTCCTGGTGTGCCTTTCCCCTGCGCGTGGTATCAGAGCGGAAGTCAACGAACGCACGCGTGGCCTTGCGGAGGGAGTCTAGGGGGCCGGCTTGCTGTGAGCGAGGGGAGGAGGAAGGGGGGGGAAGGAGGGGAGGGAAGAGAGATGGAGCTTTGAATGGTCAACAACGAATGCACACGTGGCCTTGCGCATGGAGTCGAGGGGGCCGGATTGCTGCGAGCGAGGGAGGGGGGGCGGGGAGCGGGAGGAGAGGGAAGAGAGATGGAGGTTTGAATGGTCAATGAACGCACGCGTGGCCTTGCACATGGAGTCGAGGGGGCCGGATTGCTGTGAGCGAGGGAAAGGGGGGGGAAACGGGGACAGGGGGAGAAGGGGAAGGAGGGTGGGGTCGGGGGGTCTCTAGTGAGAATGTATTTGAATTGCATCGCTGTGACCAACACAGAAAAATGGCTGGCTAGGAGGTACAAGAGAGGGTGGGGAGGGGCCAAAGTGCATGGTACTGAAGATGCACGGTACTGATGATGGAATTCAACGGTGTTTAATTTGGATTTGATTTATGAAATATTGTTGATTCCATTTAAATTACATTTCTAAGAAAAAAACCACCTAACAAAAATAAAAATTAAATTCTGGAAGCTGAGCCGAACACCGTTTGCCTTTAAATGCATGTGCGAACTTTAAGGTTGTAATCATTATGAATAATATAATTAATATTAAATAACTAATAAAACTCCAGTTAATGGTAGAATCTGATTTATACCAATTTCTGTCGTATATACATTATGCATGGTACTACTGAAGATGCATGGTACTAACTGATGATGCATGCTACCGAAGGTGCATGATGGTACTGACCGCATGGCCGTGCATTAGGAAGTTCGCCAGAGACTGTGATGCCATAGGTCCGGTGTAGCTGGGGGGGGGGGAAGGGAGGGGCACAGGAGGGGGGAGGGGGAGGGAAGGGGCACAGGGGGGGGGGGGGGTTGGGGAGAAGGGAGTTTATTTTTGAGGCGCCTAAAAAATAGACTGTGATGCCATAGGTCTGGTGTAGCTGGGGAAGGGAAAGGACGGGGCCCACGGGGGGAGGGGGGGAAAGAGAAGAAGGGGAAGGGGGAACAGAGGGAAAGGGGTATAAGAATCGTCTCATAATACGAAATTGAGGAGGGGGGGGGGGATGGGGGGAGGATGGGGGAGAGGATGGGGGGTAAGAAGGAAAGGGAAGGCCAGCGTGGGAGGAGGAGGGGGAACGGGGAGACGGCAGAACGAAGCACAGGGGAGCTGATAGGTTGAGGTATGTTTACGCAGCGGCAATGGCAAAAAGCACAAAGCGGGGGAGGCTGCGGCACCGATTGGTGCCATGAGGTCAACACTACGTGGCTACAACTTAGGATTTCACACCTGAGAGGAATTGCTAGAGTGAATGCTTGTACTGAGGCTCTTACTGCCGAGTCATTTTTGAGAATTCTAAAAAAGGCTTACTGTGTGCCAAAGGAATCGTTGAAGTCAAACAGCACGAATTGGGGAAGGCTGCAGGGAGACACGGCAACACAAGACAGGAGAGGGGAGGGGAGGGGAGGGGAAAGGGGGGGGTGTTGGGTGGAGTTGTGGCTGTTAGTAGAAGCCAGAGGTGACAAGAGCATCGGCATGGCGAGAGAAGGAGAGCGTTGCTACATTATTATTTTTGGAGTTCTCAGACAGCAAACTCATCGCTGCTCTTCCTCGTATACTCCTAGGCTTCGAATCGTACTGCCTTCTTTCTATGGGTAGAGGACGGCTTGAGAGGGAATGGAGCTGTGAGAGAGGGATCGTGAAATCATCTCCTCCGACCGACTTACGTACGTGGATTTGGCATCAGGAAGTGTCACCATGAAGTCGGTCCACAGCTCCATGACTTGTCAATAGGAAGGAGTACGATATTAGCTAAAACTGTGTTTCGCTTGAAGCAAGCCGAGATTCAAGTTCATGCCAATCATCGCATGCATGCCTTGCATGCCATGCATGCCCTGCATGCCATGCATGCCCTGCATGCCATGCATGCCCTGCATGCCATGCATGCCCTGCATGCCCTGCATGCCATGCATGCCCTGCATGCCCTGCATGCCATGCAGAACAGCCTAACGTTGCATGCATCCAGACCAGACCCAACACCCGCTCATGCACCAGTATACGCATTTCCACATCCACATACGTACATACATACAGCCATGCATACATGCATGCATCCAAGCACCCCCGCACGTACGATTTGACGCCATGTCTCGCCGCGAGGTGGGGGTACTTTGCTGCGTCCACCTGATGCCATGTGCATGGGCACAGCACAGGCATGGGCAAAGGATTGGGAATAAGCATGGGTATGGGCATGGGCATGGGCATGGGTATGGGCATGGGCATGGGCATGGGCATGGGCATGGGCATGGGTATGGGCATGGGCATGGGCATGGGCATGGGTATGGGCATGGGCATGGGCATGGGCATGGGTATGGGTATGAGCATGAGGAAATAGGGGCATAAGAACAACTCAACAAGTCAACAGGCACCTGGACAACTCAGCAAGCCAGCAAGCCAGCAAGCCAGCAAGCCAACAGCAAGCAGGGAAGCAGCAAGCAACCTTGGCCAGTAGGCAGTCCTTGCGATCCACAAGCAGAGCGGATGCATGGCGCACATGGGGAAGCACGTCCTGACAGGGATCGGGGGGGGGGGAGGAGACAGCAGGTGGAGTGTGCTTTTGAGTCGAGTAAAAAGCATATCTGCAAGCAGAGCGGATGCATGGCGCACATGGGGAAGCGCGCGTCCTGAGAGAGATGGGTTGGGGGGGGGAAGGGAGGAGGACAGTGAGCGTAACGCCTGCCTTTGATGAGTTGAGTTGACTCAATTGCATGTCCGCAACTAGGGTAGACGCATGCCGCCGCGCATAAGGAAGAACGTCCGGAGAGGGATGAGGGGGAGGGGAGATGAGGGGGAGGAGTGCCTTTTGAGGCGTGCACATAGAGCAGGCACAGGAGGGGAGCCCCAGGACATGAGTAAAGAGACGTGAGCGTGCACGAGCTAAGTGCCGTGAGTTAAGTGCCACGAGCAACCCCAACCCTCCCTCTTATTTTCCCCTCTATTTCCCCAGCCCAGACCTCTTGTCCCAAGCAACCTTGGCACCCCCCATCCTCCCCTCCTCCCCTCCTCCCCTCCTCCCCTCCTCCCCTCCTCCCCTCCTCCCCTCCTCCCCTCCTCCCCTCCTCCCCTCCTCCCCTCCTACCCTCCCTCCCCTCTCCTCCTCCTTCCTCCCTCTCACCTGGCTCGCCTTGTCACTTGGATCGTACCATTCCACCAGCACGCGCCATCGCCCCCCCACCACCTTCACTATAGTCACATCGTCCAGATCCAGCACCCCCTCTACATGCTCCCCCGGGCCCGGTTCCGCCCACTCCTGCGCCCCTGCGCCGCCCCCCACGCCCGCGCCATCCGCCTCCCCCCCCGCGCCCGCCCCTCCTCCCCCCTCCCCCCCGTAATCCCACATGTCGTAGTCATTCTGGCCTAAGTCTTGCCGCTCGCGCGCGAGCGCGGTAAAGGGAGCGGAGCGGGGGAGGGAAAGGGGGAGGGAGAAGGGGAGGGGAAAGGGGAGGGGGAAGGGGAGGGGGAGGAGGGAAGGAGGCGAGAGAACGAGGAGGAGGAGGAAGAGCAAAAGGAGGGAGAGCGGCAGTCTCGGGCGGAAGGGGGGAGGAGAAGGGGACGCGGAGGGGGAAGAGAGTTGCCTGCAGATATCGGGCGGAGACGAGGGGGAGCGGGGGAGCGCGGACCGACGGCGGAAGCGGACTGTCATGGCTTCGCGCGGGGAGAATCCGCCGCCTGCGCAGAGTACAGAGAACGAGCGGCACTCTCAGCAAAACCAGCCAGCGCCGGCAGCAGATAACGGCTCTTGCCGTTACCTGTCGGTGTAGTTGCAGTTAACGGTTCTTGCCAAACGGCGTGACTGCAGCGACAGAACTCACGCGGGAGCTGCACTGCAGACCGGAATCAGAGGCAGCGCGGAAGCTAGGCGAGGATCCGCTGAGTCTAGGTCATGTGAGATTCGACTGGGATATTTGAGATTTTTGAAGATCCCTCGTTATTTACTACGAGTTTTGAAGCTTTGTGTCGGAGGGCGGTGGGCAGCGAGCGGGTTTCTGATCAGCGTAGCGAGCAGCAACTCAATGGTGACGCACGGCCAATTCTACGCATAGTTAGCACGGTGGATGCGTCGCAAGGCCCAGCTCAAAAGTAACCGCACCAGGGAAAACGTGGCGCTGCTGATTGATTGCTGATTGCTGATTGGAGGAGCAAAGTCGTCTGACGTGCTGGTTGTGGCGGTGGATCTGGCGGCACGCCGCGCGAACGAGGGCTGTATTATCCTCGCTAAAAGAGGGCACTAGCGCTGGTTACGCCGCACATGGGTTTCACTCAGAAAAGCAACAATACCGGCAGCTACATAATACACTCTTTGGTATGGTATCCATCCACCACTCTGATCTAACCAATTGCTTCCATCAGTGGATTGTGTACACAAAAAGTGCAGTACTGGTATGTATCGCCAGCACCTAGCATTCAGCACATGTGAACACTACATGTAAAAGAACATTTGCATGACACTAAGTTCTCAGTCCCACCAACCCACCCCATCTCCCTCCCAATGCTCCTACCGGAAAATCACCTCAATCCACCCCACTCCCTGCAGTCCATTCCTTGAATCACCCAATTGATTACTCACAATTCTTGAAACGCACCACCACCTACAGTATGCATACAGTCACATTCCTAAGACTCCCCTCTTCCCCTCCCCCCTTCTATTCCCCCCTGCCCTTCCCCACCCTCGGCAGCCTGCGGTACATCTCCTCATAATAATCATCGTGTTTAATCACAGCCCGGTCTCCCATCTGCCCACCAGCCTGCTCGCCCTGGCCATTACGGCCTGCGGTACATCTCCTCATAGTCATCGTCCCCTCCACCCAGCCCAAAGTCATGCGCAAGCGACTGAAAGTTGCTGCGAAGGTTCTGATAGCGCACGTTCTCAAGGTAGGGCACATATCGCAGCACACTGTCCGGGAGGAGCCCACGAGATGCCAGCATGGTGAGCGCAACCCCTGCCAGCGCCACCAGCACCAGCAGGGCAAAGATAGTCCCCAGAATGCCCCACCCGCGATGGCTGTTCTCACCGCTGCTGCTGCTGCTGCTGCTGCTGCTGTAGCTACTGCTGCTGTCGCTGGGGGAGGGAGGGATGTAGCCAGAATGGCTGCTCACTCCCGCCTGGCTAACAGGGTTGCTGGGGCTGCTGCCGCCACGGGAGTGGAACCAGCTGCTGCTGCTGCCACTGCTTCCCCCACCCGAATGGAACCAGCTGCTACCACCGCTGCTGCTGCTGCTGTGGCTGTTGAATCCAGCACCACTGTAGCTGCTGCTACTGGCAGTAGGGGTGAAACTCGAGCTGCTCTTGCTCCCAGCCCCGGACCAATGCCCCTTGCACTTATCCCCCGCTATCTGCCGCTTGTTATCCGGGTTGGGCTTAAAGCCCTTCCCGGCAAGCGAGGGACAGCTGTCGACAGCAGAGGCGGACAGGTGGCGGCATGTGGTTGGCTCGCTGGGGTCGGGCTCGGTACCAAAGTCGCACTGGTAGTCGTTCTGGGAGCACTCGCACTCGGTGATCTGGGGGGCGGGACGCGTGTACTTCTCACCGTTCCAACACTTGGATGAACGGGGCTGAAGGGGATGGGGTGGGGTGGGGTGCGGTGGAGAGGAAAGACGAGATAGGCGCCCAGAAGGGATGAAAATGAGCAGCATGGGGAAGGGCGGAGCAGGGAGGATGAGAGGAGGATGACAAGAGGATTCATGGGGAGAAGACACAGGGAAGAGGGGTGAGGTGTTGAGTGCTGGGTGGTAGAGGGGTAAAGGTGCACGAGATGGTTTGGCCAATGAACCAGCGGGAAGAGGTGCGCGTCCAGAACTCAGCTCCATTGGCACCTCCTGCAATTTCGAGACGTCTCAACCCCCCATCCCCCCCCCCTACCCCCCCCTAACCCCCCCCCCGTGCATGCGCACCTGGTGCTGGATGGAGATGTTTTGGCCGAGGAAGCAGCGGGAGGCGGTGGGCGTCCAGAACCCCGCTCACTCTATCCTCTCCCTTGGCACCTCGTGCAATTTCGAGGCGTCTCAACCCCCCACATCCCATCCCCCTCACGCACCCCCCCCCCCCCCTCAACCCACCCCGGAGCGCACGCACCTGGCGCTGGATGGAGATGTTTTGGCCGAGGAAGCAGCGGGAGGCGGTGGGCGTCCAGAACTCGTAGTCGCTGCTCTGGCACAGCTTGTACTCGGGCAGTGCTGTGAAGTCCAGCGAGACGAGCACGCCCTTGCGCGCGCCCCCGCTGCCATCGTCCACCGTCAGACCCTGGGGGGTGGGGGGGGGAGGAAGGGGGGAGGTTGGGGAGAGAGAGGGGGAGGAGAAGAGGGGGAAAAGAGGGAAGGGCACAGATTGGCGGAGGAGCGGGTGCAAGGAGGGAGGACTAAACGGGTAGTGCAATGCAACCATCAACCACTCAAACTCACACCTAAATAAGACTGTGCATGACCACAGCCCACTATCATCATCAAGCACGTCATGACAACGCACAATCTCAACTGAATGAGGAGTGTCCTCCCTTGGCCATCTAACTTCACTCACACCTGATGGTAAAAACATCCACTGGCAAACGCCTCCTGGCTGGATTGTCTATGCTGAAGTGTAACTTCGTCAATAAGCCGAGTCCAGTCGGCTCCCCACGTAAATGAGGAACCTCAGGCCCTGGTTCACCCAACCCTCCTCAACAGATCAGCTCACAGCTCACAGCTTATCATACAGAGCACCATCTCAAGCTCGGAGTTCGAACCCCACCGCACCTGAATGAGGAACTTCTTGCCCTGGTTGTCCGGCTCCACTCGGATGTTGAATATATCCACCTGCTGCTCCGCCCCCGCAAACGTCTCCTCCTCCCACGAGAGCCCCTCGTCCAGCGAGTACATCACCTCGCTCGACGCCGTGTGCAGCCCGTGCTTCGTCATCACAATCACCCCCCCCGAGTCTCCAAACTCGTAGATGTGCGACCCCTTGGCTATCTCCTCCCACGTCTGCCCACCGTCACGCGACAGATAGGTATTAATAGTGGAGTCCTGGTAAAGAAACGTGCCCACGTTGCCAGTCGAGATGATGAGGCCCGGGGTGGAGGCATGGGAGTAGACGAACGCGAAGCCCGAGCCCCCGATCCAGCTGGTCGTGCCGTGCAGGTGGAGCGAGCAGCCATCGCGTGTGTCGCAGTGGATGGGGCGGCGGTTGGTGTCGTACTCTGGCGCCTTGATGGGCTCCCAGCTGGTGGTAGTCGGTAGAGGGAGAGAAAACACGGGCGTTGGGGCCGGAGAGGGATGGGAGAGAAGATGCGAGGCGCGATGCGAGAAAGTAGGCAGGAGGAGAGGGCGGAAGGGGAGTGGGTGGATGGGCATGGGGAAGAAGCGAGTGTGTGGGGTGAGCGGTAGTAGACATGGCTTGCAAATAAAGCACGTGAAGGAAGTAAGGTGATTGGGAGCTTCTGCCACGTCTTGAGCCAAGTCAAAATATCTTGGCAAAATCAGGCAATGTAACAGTTACAAGCCCCCAAATGCTAGCAGTTGCCACTGAAGGGGGGAATGATGGAGCCACTAGGGTCCATGGGGAAGTGATGGACGGAGCATTTGTAGAATATGAGGTCGGGGAGTGGGGTGGGGTGGGGTGGGGCGGAATGGGTTGTTTAGAGGCGTACGAGGCGCCAGAGTTGAATGCGAGAGCACGGTGGAGCCACTTTTTGTAAGTCCACTCATAAGCTTTAGGAGGGGAGAAAGACATACGTGGCGCCGGAGTTGAACGTGATGAGCGTGGTAGAGCGGGCGAACGTCATGTCGTCCTCCTCTGTGGTCCCTGCCCCATGCTCCGCCACCTGTGGTGAGGTGGTCACATGCACAGCACAGGCAGGCAGGCAGCACAGGCAGCACAGGCAGCACAGGCAGGCGGGCAGCACAGGCAGAACAGGCAGGCAGGCAGCACAGGCAGTACAGGAAGCACAGGCAGGCGGGCAGCACAGGCAGCACAGGCAGCACAGGCAGGCAGGCAGCACAGGCAGCACAGGCAGGCGGGCAGCACAGGCAGCACAGGCAGCACAGGCAGCACAGGCAGCACAGGCAGCACAGGCAGCACAAGCAGCACAGGCAGCACAGGCAGGCGGGCAGCACAGGCAGCACAGGCAGGCAGGCAGCACAGGCAGCACAGGCAGGCAGGCAGCACAGGCAGCACAGGCAGAACAGGCAGGCGGGCAGCACAGGCAGCACAGGCAGCACAGGCAGCACAGGCAGGCAGGCAGCACAGGCAGCACAGGCAGGCAGACAGCACAGGCAACACAGGCAGCACAGGCAGCACAGGCAGCACAGGCAGCACAGGCAGGCGGGCAGCACAGGCAGCACAGGCAGGAAGGCAGCACAGGCAGCACAGGCAGCACAGGCAGCACAGGCAGCACAGGCAGCACAGGCAGGCGGGCAGCACAGGCAGCACAGGCAGGCGGGCGGCACAGGCAGGCGGGCGGCACAGGCAGCACAGGCAGCACAGGCAGGCGGGCAGCACAGGCAGCACAGGCAGGCGGGTGGCACAGGCAGCACAGGCAGCACAGGCAGGCGGGCAGCACAGGCAGCACAGGCAGGCGGGCGGCACGGGCAGGCAGAGGGTGAGCTTGAAGAAGGGGGAAAAGGAGAGGGCAGTGGAGAGGGGAAAGAGAATGGGGGCACCGGACGAAGAGGAGAATGAAGCAATGGTAGATGAGTGCAACACACAAGAAGACATCCAATTCATGCGCCAATGCACCAATGCACCATCTACTACTACCCACGCACCATCCATCTCGCACATTGCACTCTCCATGCACCAATGCAACCACGCATCCATGCATCCATGCACCCATGCACCCATGAATCCATACCCTCATGAATCCATGCATGCATGCACCCACATGCACACTGTTCATTCTTTGATGCGTGCATGTGACCCCCCCCATGGCACTGACCAGTGGTTCGGTGTACTCGGACAGCTGATTCGCCACGTACACTCCAGGCAGGCCCTGGGGCACAGCAAGGGAGAGAGAACAGGAGCACAGAGGGGTGCAGTGACGGTCTGAGGTGTGTCGACAGCTGATGCGCCACGTACACGCCAGGCAGGCCCTGAGACATAGCAAGGGAGGGGAGCGGTACCGCAGAGGGGCACCACGCAAGGGAACACAACGTGACAAAAAGTTTCAAAAACGCGTTGCTAGGCAGAAAGGATCACGGAGGGAGGGGAGTAGGGACTATAGGGAGAGTGATGAAGTACTCCAGTTACGTGTCATAGTCCCTATACCTGCTTCCTCCCTCCCAATATTTGGGTGAACCACGCCAATATTGCAGATACCTGCTTCCACCCTCCCTAAGCCTCCCCCCTTTTCTCCTGGGAACATCAGCACCAAAACGCCAAAACGCACCTGGAGAGCAGCAAAGTCCACCGCCACGAGCAGATCCCCGTACGGCGACACCCGCGACCCCTCCGCGTAGTCCACGTTCACAAACGCCGTGTCCGGCGTGGTGTGAACCACCCCGAGTACCCAAGGAGCTTCCCAGAACAACAACCACCACACCTCCTCCTCATTCACAGCCCCCACCGCCACTCTAGAACCCCTCACTTTCCCCCCCAAACAGCAGCACCAGACGCACCTGGAGAGCGGCAAAGTCCACGGCCCCACTGATGCTCCTCGCATTCCTTCTCAAGGCGAGCCCGAACAGCGAGAGCGACTCGTCCGCCACGAGCAGATCTCCGTACGGCGACACCCGCGACCCCTCCGCATAGTCCACGTTCACAAACGCCGTGTCCGCCGTGGTGTGCACCACGGAATAGCCCCGCTGCACTAGCGGGCGTGGGAAGCAGGCGTCCAGGAAGGAGCCTCCATAGTCCGCTGAGATCTTCAGCCGCACGCCCGAGCGCCCCTCAGCACGCGAGCCCGAGCTGCACCCCTCTGCTACCGCCTGGGAGAGCGGGGAGGGCGGTTGCACGGTCAGGGTTGGGAGGAAAGGCGAGCAGGGAAGAGGCACGGGGGGGAGGGAGTAGGGCGGAGGCCAAGTGGAACATGGGGAACGGAGGGAGGGAGGGGAAGCGGGACGAAACAAATTAGCTTCGAGGGTAGGTAAGTGGTGGTTGTGGGAAACGGGCGTCCAGGAAGAAACCCCCGCAGCCTGCTGATATCTTCAGCAGCAAGCCCTCGGCACGCGAGCTCAAGCAGCAACCCTCTGCTACTGCCTGGGAAGGGTGGTAAAAGGTTCAGGGTTGGGAGGAGGGAATCAGGGAAAAGCCGCGGAGAGGAGGGAGGGGGGAAGGGGGTGGGGGACAGTACGACATAGCTTTTAGGGTCGGAACAAGTGGGCACGGGACATGAGCAAACGAGGCGAGTAAAAACTCGCCGCGCCTACTCGCCTTGGATTTGGCGAGTAACGAGGCCTGTTTTTCAACGAAATTACTTGGCGAGTATTACTCGCCTCGCCTCGCCGAGTAAAAATTACTCGTTTTTTACTCATCCTTTTTGGGCGAGTAATGTGTACTCGCGAGTAAACACTACTCGCCTCGAGTAGTTTTTCCGCGCGTCACTTGTACCAGCGCGACCCGCATCAGGGTGGTATAAATGTCAAAATTTCGACATGGCTGATCCTTTTTTTTCAGATCAGCCAAGGTTATTACTTTCGTCCTATCCTAGGGTCTCCGAAGGCCCCTGAGAGCGCTAGGGAAATTGCGAGACTAATAGATCCAGGGGAGAGCACGCTAGATTATATTTTCCTCTCCTCTGCCAGTTAGATGGGGAAGGGGAGGGACATTGGAAGGGTTGGGAGCGGTTGGGGTGTTAATTTTGGTTGGTCTTTCAATCTCGAAGTGGGGGAACCTTTTTTGCGATAGGCGAAAATTGCGCAAACTTCTGCGAAGTCGAAATTCACAAAGATTCTAGCAATTATTGCCGGGCGACTTAGGAAGCTACCAGGGCGAGGCGAGTATTACTTGCCCCTTGAAGGGCGAGTAACGAGGGGGGATTTTCCTCAAAATTACTCGAGCGAGTATTACTCACCTCGCCTTTTGCTCATGTCTACGCGGGAAGCACGCCTCCCCCCAAACCAACCACCCATTCCCAACACCCCCACACACCCAACCGAGACTGACACCAGCATAGCCGAGCATCAGCAGGAAGCAGAAGCAGGAGCAGCAGCACATACGAGAAAGAGCTTGTCGTTCATGATCTCAAACTGGTTGCCCGAGTGAACACCACTTGGGTGCCCGTCTGCCACGTAAAGACCTATGGCACCCAAGTGGTGTTTACCAAGCAGCAGCACGTACGAGGAAGAGCTTGTCGTTCATGATCTCAAACTGGTTGCCGCACGGCACGGTGCGTGTGTGCTTGCTGCCGAAGTAGTCGCTCGTGTGCACAAAGTCCACATACGCGTCCCATCCCGTCGCCAGCGCCACTCCGTTGGCGCGCAGGTGCTCCCGCACCTCGTCGCGGTTCTCAAAGACAGTCGCTAGAATGGTGTCCTGGTGGGTACAGGGGAGGGGGGGAAGGGGGGAAAGACGGGGAGAAGAGGGGGGTCAGAGGGCGGGAAGATAAGTTCATAGTCGGCAATATTTTGGCGCGTAGGTGCCCCAAAACTTGTTGCGGTTCTCAAACACCATTGCTAGAATGGTGACCTGCTGGGTGCAGGGAGGGGGGAAGAGGGGGAAAGAGGGAAGGGCGGGAGGAGAGGGAGAGAGGGGGGGGTATGGGGGGGTTATTTTGAGTCGACCGCAAGAGAGGAGTGTTGGGGGGGGGGGCCTGGGGGGGGGGGGGGGGGAGCGATTTTGTCCCGGACATGCTCCCTAATTTGTCGCTTGTCGCACTTGTCAGACACCACTGCTAGATGGAGTTCAGGTGTGTGTGGGGGAAGGAAGTGATTGAGGAGACAGAACAGGGAAGGGGGAACAAGGGACGTGGGGAAATAGGGACAGAGATGAAGGACGAGGGAAAGGGGGACAGAGAAAAGGGAGGGAGGGGAAAGGGAAGCGGCTGTCAGGCTTCGATCGAGTTTGGCGATGTGCAGGGAAGAAGGGGCGATGGGAAGGCAGGGTTGGGAAAGAAAACACGGTGGATAGGCGGAAAGCTTTCTAGTGTGAAAGCGAAGACAGATTCACGAGAAAAGGATGGATAAACGAGGGGAGGGTGTGCAGGTGAAAAACGGCGAGAGGAAGTCTCGCCCTAATACAGGGAAAAAGTGCGGGGAGAACGGGCGAGAGGAGACCTCTTGCACTCATATGAGAAGGATGAGCAGGAGTCACGCTGTCTTATAGCACTGCGTATGAAAGGCTGTGAACGGCTGTGAAAGGCTGTGAAAGGCGTTAAGTAGTTATGAAGTTAGGAACGGCGTACCCGGGTGTAGGTGCTGTGGTGCTTCGTGTCGCCAGGCGTCTGTGGGAGTCAGGAGGGACAGCAGGCACACAGGCAGTCGGGCAGACATCAGGCACACAGGCAGACGGGCAGACAGCAGGCACACAGGCAGACGGGCAGACAGCAGGCACACAGGCAGTCGGGCAGACAGCAGACACACAGGCAGTCGGGCAGACAGCAGACACACAGGCAGACGGGCAGACAGCGGGCGGCAAGGAAGATAGGCAGACATACACACAAGTAGCTTGCATGCACTCATGCATCCCCCCCCCCCCACCCCACCACACACACGCACCCACGCACGCATGCACTCTTCCACTTCATGTCACCACCCCACAAACAGGCATCATGCAGCAAAGGATAAAAACATGAGGTGCAGCACACGGCTCACACAGCAGAAAACGACTGCCCAAGGAAAAAATAAAAGAGAACAAGTGTGTTCTAAGGAGCGCCAAGTGGAGAGGGGGGGAAGGGTGCGGTGCAGAAGGGGGGAACACAGGAGGGTGAGGGGAGGTGGGGGGGGGGGGGGAGAGGGGAGGGAGAGTGATTGAGATATGCACACGGGTGGTCCAGTCCAGCACAGTGCACAGACGCACTCACCTTGCTCCACCCCCAGTCAAAGTCCACAAAACCGAGAATACGACCCTGGATAGAGACAAGGAAGAGCAGCGAGGGGAGAAAGGAGAGCGGAAGCATGTGAGGCGAGGAAAGGGGAGGGATGCGGGAGAGGCGCGGGAGGGGCGTGGGAGGGGCGTGGGAGGGGCGTGGGAGGGGCGTGGGAGGGGCACGGCAGAAAGGAGAGTACTTCCGAAAGTGGGACGTGGAGACAGCAAGGAAGAAAGCAAACAGGCACATACAAATACAACACCCACCCACCCATATAGCCATGCCCAGACGACCACTCATCACGCAGATATATGATACACCCCCCTTTTTCTCCCCCCCCTTTTCTCTCTTCCCCACCCCCCTCTTTCTCTCTCCCCCCCGTCCCCCCCCCACCTTTCTCCCCCCCACTCTTTCCTTCCTTCCCCAGCACGCACCTGAGCCTTCTCTGTAAGGTTCTGCCACGTGCGGCCAAAGTCCTTAGTGAGGAACAACTGGTGCAGGGCAAGGCGAGAGAGAGACGAGGGGAAGGGGGTGGGGAAGGGGGAGTAGTAGATTGGGTTGGGGGGAAGGCAGAGAGAGAGGCAAGGTGGGTAAAACGTGGCATGGGGCAAGGGGCATCAGGAATGGGGCATGGGACATGGGGTATGTTGCATGGGGCACATAGGGCATGTGGCATGTGGTATGGGGCATTGGGGCATGTGGGATGCGGCATGGGGCATGGGGCATGGGGCATGTGGCATGGGGCATGGGACATGGGGCATGTGGCATGGGACACAGGGCATACGGCATGGGGCATGTGGCATGGAGCACTGCATTGCAGGGCATGCACAGAGAGAGCGTGAGGTGTAATTGGTTGACTGACATCGTCGGCGCATGTGCCTCGTTGGTTGTCGTCCTTGGACCAGCACGCCCAGCGCCGCACCATGGCCAGCACCTGCGGCATCAACACACATGTGTAGACAGGCACACGGGCATGCAGGCAGCAAACACGGCATGCAAGGTATGCAAGGGATGTGGAGAGGCGAGAGGAACGGATGGAGCGAGCTGAAGTGACCTCCAGTTACACTCTTTGAAGGGAGAGGACAACTAGGGAGAAGACACGCAGGGAAACACACAACAAAAAGCTACAACAGACTGTTAAGCATGGTATGCCATGGCACGTGGCATAGCATGGCACGCATACAGGGTGGACAGGCCTGGCATGGCACAGCATGGGATTGAAGGGGCGAGTGAAGGAGGGAGGGAGGAAGGGAGGGAGGGAGGGAGAGAGGAACGGAGGCAAGAAAGCAGGAAGGAAAGCAGGCAGGAGAGCAGCGAGGCACTGACCCAGTCGCTCTCCATGGGGTGCAGGCGCACTGTAGCCACACCCATGTGCCCTGCCGGTCCCTCCACCCTGTCATATGACTCGCCTGCACGCACATGCACGCACATGCACGCACACGCAGACGCGTACATACGCATGCACACACACGCACACAAGCATGCACACACACACACGCAGGCGTGCACGCGCAGACACACACGCAGATGCGCACACTCGCAGATGCGCACACACACATCGAAGGAGGAGAATCGGTGAGTGCAGCAGCGGGGAGGGGAGGAAAAACGTGGAGAGGTTGGTCGGGGGGAGAGGGGGGGAGGAGGGCGGGAGAACGAGGGGGGGAAGGGAGGGATGTGTGTACCTGCGTTGGTGGTGATCCAGTGTGTGTCGCCTCCTCCCCTGAAGAACATCTTTTCTGGCTTGGACGGATGGAAGTAGAACGCCTGCACTCCCTTGGGTGGCTCGTACGCTCTGTGATGGGTTAGCCATTAAAAGCACACCGTGCACACATACCCACAGATGCACACATATCCACACATGGACACATAACCGCACACGCACATCATATACAGATCGTACGTCCATGCGTGCACGCATTCACCCAGGAACGTATGCGTGCAGCCAGGCTTGCTCACGACCCGGCTAGCCTACTCGTTAACGGAAATACAGCAGGCAAAGGCGAAAGCGGGAGAAGGGGGTGGGGGAAAAGGGGGGGGAGGGGGGGGGAGGAGGAGGAGGAGGAGGAGGAGGAGGAGGAGGAGGAGGAGGAGGAGGAGGAGGAGGAGGAGGAGGAGGAGGAGGAGGAGGAGGAGGAGGAGGAGGGAGAGGAGCTCACCCCCTGGCTGGTGGAATGTCCGTTCCCCCGGGAATCTGAACCGCACAGCACAGGGGATCGATGGAGAGAGAGGCAAGCGAGGGGCGGAAGGCAAGTGAGAGACGGAAGGCGAGCAACGAGGGTTGAGGCAAACGATCGGAGGAAGGTGGCGGACAACGAAACAAGGCCAGTAAAGGGTACATGGCAACGGGGTAAGGCAGGGAGGGGGACGGGAGGGGGGCGGGTGGGCGACGGGAGGGGGACGGGAGGGGGACTGCTATGGGAGGGGAAAGAAAAGGAGGAGGAAGTTGACGAGTGGAGGAAGAAAGAAGGGTACGTGAAAAAAGGAGCGACGGTAAGTAGAAGGGAGGATGGGCAGCAAGTACCTTTCCCTGTGCAGAATGGTCGTTCCATGAGAGGCCTCCGTCCCTGCTGGCCCACACATGGCCTTCCTCCGTTACTGTGAACACGATCTATAGTCGCACGCGAGGGGTAGGGGGAGGGTGGGGAGGGGGGGGTCAAGGGAGGCTTGATGGATGAGGCGCGAACGTAATCAAAGGAGATAACTCGTGTGAGCGGCCCAAGAAAGCAATGCAATTGCTGCTGCTCAAACGCGCTATTGAGTCCAAAACATGGAAATTTACACATCCGCCGATGGGAAGGTTGTGAAACATATCGGTAAATAATCACACTCCAATAAATTGGCGTAATTCGTTTCAAGGGGATTTTTTTCCGTCTGCCTAAATCTTGTATGCGTATTGCTCGATTAACAAGGCTGTGAAAGTAACAGTATCTACCAAAATGCACTTGAAATTTGAAAACGGTTTTCACGTGCAATAATTCAAAATAAAAGGAGAAGCCATGAAGGGCGGAAGCTCAGCTCACCTCGTCAGACGGACCGACCCACTGAGTGTCTCGGATAGGGCTATCCAACACCGTCTGGACGTCAGACGTTGGACATCGTCAGCAACAGCCATAGGGACAGTGGGGAACACATGGAAAGGAACATGGAAAGGAATGACAAGAATTGATGATAAGAGACGGATAGCGCAAATACACGGGAAACCAGAGAATCAAGTGAGGGAAAAAATCCAAGATCTTCGAGCAAAAGGACGCGAAACCGCTCGAAACATAGGGAAGGCTCTCGGGAAATAAAAGGAGAGAGAAGGGAGACAGACATCGACAACATAGCAAGACCGTCCATTCAGAATCCGTGAAACGGCACGAATTCGTGAAATTCGTGAAATTCAGCTGTCTCGAAAAATAAACTAACCATGGACGAGAGCTTGGCAGTAACGCCGCGAGGCACGAGCAGTGCCAGAGTCACCACAAGGACTAGGGCGACCATTCCGCTACGCCACGACCGTCGCATACACTCCACCGCCGCCATGGCTCGCAGGACCCTCACAGATCTGACCGCGCGCGCCATACACCAGAATCGCACTCACTCGCAACGCTTACACGTCGACGTTATGTTTATGGATCAATTCCCAAATCCACATCCAGCGAGCGAGCAGGCGTGGGGAGGAGTCGCTTTCTGTGCGTAATTCGTAGTCTTACGGAAGCTGTCTTCAGGAAGGGTGATGGTGACACCAACCTAGATAATACCTCGTCCGCCCTTGGTAACCTCGAGATTCGTGAAGCAGAGAGGTTGCTGCATTTTCGGTTTGGTGGGTGGGGGAGGGGGAGGGGAGCGGAGGTGAGGAGGGGGGAGTTGAGTTGTTAGCGAAAGAAATCAACGTGGTGGTTACCTGTCGCCACGACCCACCTGTGCTGTGCGCCTGCCTCATTTGTCAGCTGCCACCAAGCACTGCTGGTCTGAGAGTGCTAGGTCTGCCTCGTTATAGCGGTGTACGTCTTACTGAATAAAACCCATGATAAGGAAATACCATTTCCTTTCACCCTCCCCCCTCCAAGGTATGGTCTTAGTTAAGACCGCCGACGTCGCACCGCGTAACTAGAGGTAGACTCGTAACACCGGGTAATTCTCGATCTGTGCCAAGGGCACCAACCTGTTTTCTAGGGCCGTCCGGTCCTTCCAGGATAGCAGAAACTTGATCAGGCGGACCCCTCGAGGGTCCTTGATCCGATGGCTGAGAACCTTCGCAAGTTCGACGAAGGCTCGGTGAGCGGTCGGATGTTCAGGTTCGCTCGGTGACGTGATAATTTACTGGTGCTGGCGATGTATGGTCCAAGTAATTGCACGCGGAATGATGGGCTGACGTTTTAGGTGGCTGGTAACAGTAGATGGGCTGTAACGTAAGATATCATGTGGCTGATGGTGAATGGTCCACAGTAGGGGGGGCGGAGTTTTGGGACGATGGGCAGTCAAAGATTCAGGGTGTCGAGCAGTACTAAGTCTCCAGCCTGGTAAGTTACTACTCGTCGGTAAAGATCTGCGTTGCACTTAGAAATAACATTCGCGCGTTTAATGGCTTCGGCTGCTCGCTCCCGGGCATTCTGTAATATTTCAGCGAACTGTTGGATTCGTGGTACTGGATTTTCGATGTTTGGCGTGATCGGTACTGTAGGGTTCTACCCGTAGTTAAGGTAGAATGGTGTATATCATGTAGTGGCTGACGTGGCATTATTATACGCGAACTCAATCAGTGGCAGTTGTTGCTCCCAGTCATCGCAGGTGGCGCGAATCAGCTGCTCCATCGTCGGATTGGCCCGTTCGGTCTGCCCGTCAGTCTCGGGGTGGTAGGCGGAGGAGAACTGCAGGCGCGTGCCAAACCATTCCCAGAGGTTGCGCAAAAAATCACTGGTGAATTTCGTGTCACGATCTGAAACGATGGCAGATGGGATTCCGTGGAGACAAACGACGGTTGAGATGAAGAGGCAGGCTGTTTCTTCGGCTGAGATGTTTTTCTTGCAGGCGGTGAAGTGGGCCATCTTTGTCAACTTATCGACGACGACAAATATCGCATCATTACAACCGTCCTTGGTAGGCAATCCCGTGACAAAATCCTTTGTCACGTGCTGTCACGCGCGCTCAGGCAGCGGAATCTGTTGCAACTGTCCAGCTGGCTTCTGCTTCCATGATTTCATGGTTTGGTAGGTTCTGCACGAAACCACATGCCGCTGTACGTCCCCTTGCATGTCGGGCCATAAATAGTATCTGGTTAACTCCTACAGGGTCTTCTTCACCCCGAAGTGCCCCGAAATGGTGCTATCGTGAGCTTCCTCTAAAAGTAACTCCTGCAGTAGACTGTACTCTGGTACCTAGATGAGGCCAGTCCCTGTCTTTACGTAATAAACCCCTTTAGCTGTTGCGAGCTATTTGTACGCATCCGACGTAAAGAATCTGTCCGTCTGGTACCCGTGAGGTTAATAGCGGGGAAGTTTTGGAGATGATTATGGAGTTGAGCTGGGTGGATGGGCGAGAAAGGGGGTCCGCGATGTTGGATGCCCTTTTCTTGTAGGTAATCGTGTAATGGACGTTGGACTCCATAAAAACCAACCACCGAATCTGTCGTGGGTTGAGTAATGGCAGTGCGCGGATGTAATATATGCTTCGATGGTGTGAGAGTACGACCCCGTTACACCACTTGGCCTTTTTTCTACTTCCTTCCTATTTTCATTTCTCTTTTTATCTCATCTCATTTGGTTTCATATTCTCCATTTTCCATTAACCTTTGGTTTATCCTGCTATTATAAATATATCACCGACCAGGCTTGGGATGTACTGGCGCGCTATATCTAGCGTAATCCTGCTGTAATCCCTTAAAGCCAATAGCCTCGTGTGGCTATACGCAGGGTGATTCTATCTTCTAGAAGGGTCTATTCCCTTAGGATAAGATAAACCTGGTTACCTGATGTACTCTGGAAGTATAAAAGCGCCTTGTACTGATCGATAGTGCAATATTTCCTCGACACATTCGATCCTGTCACAGATGGTCTGTCTATAATGTCAAAGTCCGCACCCGTCAGGTAGCACCGCCACACTTTAAACGCGTGCACGATCACGAGCATCTCCTTGTCGTGTATCGGATAGTTTCGTTCAGGCGGGTGCGGCTTTCATTACTCGTACGTGATTTGCTGTAAATCTTCACCGAAGTCCTGTAATAGTACTCCTTCAATGGCGATGTTGCTGGCGTCTGTGATTACTTCGTATGGACGGTGAGGATCCGCAATGCGAAGGTCAGGGGTTGAGCACATAAAAGTTTTGAATGTAGAGAAGGCAACTTGCTCTTCCCCCCCCCCATCTATGCGTAGTCCCTTTCCGCAGCCAGTCAGCTAACGATGCAGTTACCCCCGCCATATTCGGGATAAACCTCCGAACATAGTCGACGAACCCTAAAAAAACTTGCAGCTCCTACAGGCTCTTAGGCGGTAGCAAGGCTTGCACTGTCTCGATCTTGCGCGGGTCCACTTTGACACCCTTAGTGGAAATAACGTGTCCCCGAAATTCTAAACGGTCTTTTAAAAACTCGCACTTAGACCCCTTCGTGAGGAACCGATGCTCATACAGTAGCATGAAAACTGCTTCGAGGTCCTTTATGTGCTACTCCCGGGTCTCACTATAGATCAAGATATCGTCTAGGTAGACTATAACACACCTATCTATGAGTGAACTGAAGATCTGGTTGATGGTCATCTGAAAAGTTGCCGGGGCGTTCGTCAACCGGAAGGGCATAACTATATACTCGAAACTCCCATACCTAGTACGAAATGCTGTCTTGTGACAGTCAGCTGTGACTATACGGATTCGATGGTAACCCCCTCGTCAATCTATTTTCGAGAAGAAGCGAGCTTTGCGAAGTTGGTCGATCAGTTTGTCGGTGCGCGGGATAGGGTAACGCGACTTGATGGTCACCCGGTTCAGTGCTCTGTAGTCGGTGCACATTCGGTACCCGCCGTCTTTCTTCGGGGTGAACAGTATGGGGGCGGCAAATGGCGAGGAGCTCGGGCGGATGATTTTTTTCTCTAGTAATTAATCTAACCTCCTCCGCAACTCCTCTAACTCCGTCTGTCTTAATCGAAATTGCCGCTGCACCGTGGGCTTATTCAATGCAATGGTCAAAGGGCCATTCCGGTGGTAACCCCTCAGGCAGTCTGGGAATATCTGCGGGAATCTGCGAATCAGCTGCGCTAAATCGGCCGGCACTGCTGCTGTCAGCTTCTCACAATCGGACGGCTGCGATGCCACGTCGACGGCACGAATGACTACAGCGAAGACTTCCGCTCCCCGTGCGACTAATCGTTTGATCGCCACGGAGTTCACCTGCATCACTCCCACTGTGATCCCCTTCGTCCATTATGGTAATGTCACACTGCGACCATTGATCTTGACGGAACAGCTGCCGATCGTACAGTCAATTTTTGGGTTGAATCGTCGAAGCCAATTCCGTCCCAGCAACATGTCGAAGCCGTCGAGTGTAGTTGCCAGCATCCCCATCGAAAAATTGAAGTCAGCTCCACAACGTACCCTAATCATGTCCGCCCTATCTTTTATTGCTAATGGGGTTCCATCGACTAGTCGGGCGTCAATCTCCGGTAGGCACCTGTCTAAGGTTGATCAGACTGTGGCTGGCTCCCCCGTCCACAAAGATTTTATGTTTTTCCCCTTGAATCCCACCCTTTAAATAAATGGGGTAATCCGCCGCTTAACCCTCCATATTCAGCCGAGTTTGGTCGATTGCGTGGATCGGTACCAGTACACAATGAGGGTCATCGGTTATGGGCGAGTAGGTTCCATCAGTAGTAGGCCCGTTAAAGCCACGGTACACATAAAAAAAAATTCTATGAAGTGATAAACATTTGAAAAAGGGTTATTGGGTTGTTTCTTCCTCTGAAGTTGTGATCTCGCCAGCCTAGGTAAAGCTTTGAAAGAACGAGATGTGGCAATTGTGTACTGAAATTCCCACAACCACGCAGGGGAGTTTTGCCCCGTCACGCTCTTCCGAATTCCCCCCCTTCCATGATTTCGTTCCCCCCACCCCACGCTATTCCGACACTTTCCCCACAACTCCGTTCCCCTCCTCCACTCGCAATTCCGAATCTTTCCCTCCAAGTCAATTTCGTTTCCCCCAACCCTCGCGATTTCAGACTCCCCCCCCTCTCCCCCCCCCCCCCCTTGCCCCGCCCCACCCCCCCACGCAATTCCGTTTCCCCCTAACCCTCGGAATTTGTACCCCCAACCTATGAAATTCCGTTTCCCCCCCATTCCAACTCCCCCCCCCTACGCAATTCTGGTTCCCCCCAACCCTCGCAAGTCTATTTTCCCCCCACGCAATTTTGTCCCCACATTTACGAAAGTCCCCCCCATTTTGCGTCATTTTTTTCCAGTTGCCTCTCGCCCTCCAATCATCTAAGCCCCCTTTTCTTGAACTCCGCATTGCCACCCCAAACTGCGTTGAATGTGTACCGTGGCTTTAACGACTGATACTAAGCATTTCCCTTGTTGCTGGAACTCCCCTGCCCCTGATTCCGCTTCTTCCGCTCCTATGGGCATTCCGACTTGCGGTGTCCCAGTCTGTTACACCCGAAACAACGACCCTTAAAGGTTGTAACTGTTGAGCTTGATTTTGTAACAGCGTGTACAGTGGCACGCTCGATTGGTCCCCGAGTGCGGTTTCTGTCATAGGAATCCGTCCT